AATGAAACAGGATCTATGTTTTACACCATTTCCTAAAATTAAATCAAGATATATTAAAATCTAACAGAAGTTCTGAAACTATAGAACTACTAGAAGAAAACATGGGAAAATTCTCCCAGATGTGGATCTTGGCAATGATTTTTTTGGATATGCCAAGAAGGCACAAACAACAAAATAAAAATTAAGCAAGTGGGAGGACAATCAAATAAGCTTCTGCACAGCAAAAGAAATCATCAACCAAGTGAAACGACAACCTACATGATTGGAAAAGTGTACTTGCAAACCATATATCTGATAAAAGGCTAATATTCAAACTATGTAAAGAACCCATATAAACTTAACAGTAAAAAATAAAATAACTTAATTAAAAAATGGGCAAAGGACCTGAACATTCCTCCAGAGAAGATACATGAAAGACCAGCAGGTACATGAAAAGTGTTCATCATCACTAGTTGTTAAGGAAATTCAAATTAAAGCCACTGATAGGTTGTTGCTGAACCATGAAAGACCCGGGATTCTTGCCCTCCACAGGAGAAGAATGCAATCCAGGGCCAGAGACGAGGCTTGATCACTCAGAGCTTTTGTGTAACAGTTTTATTAGAATATAAAAGAGATAGAGAAGGCTTCTGACATAGACATCAGAGGCGGGTAGATAGAGTGCCCCCTCGCTAGTGTTAGCAACGGAGTTATATACCTTTTAATTAGTTACTACAGTGAATGAAAAGAATGTCTGGAGGTTGTAAAGATCTTACTAGACCCACTCCCATAATTTACACTCTAAGATAACAGGATTAGCCAGAAGGTTTTTTCCAGAAACTGTCCTCAAGCAAGATATATTATTGTTGTATAATCCTAAGGAATGTAGAGAAAAAAAAAAAAAAAGTTTGTCCTTTCTTCCTACTTGAGAATTCCAGACCCCTCTCTCCTTGGGGACCCCTGGACTTCTTATCAACCTGCCTAGGAATTGACTTTCTCACCACAAAGCGATATCAGCTCACACCTGTTAGAATCACCATCACCATAAAGAGAAGACATGGCAAATACCGGCAAGAACATGAGGAAACGGGAACCTCCATGTGCTGTTGGTTGGAAACTGGTGCAGCCACCATGGAAAGCTGAGCAGCTTTCTCATAAAATCATGAATGGAGCTGCCGTCTGGTCCTGCGATTCCACTGCTGGTGTTTATGCAAAGAAAGTGAAAACACTGACTTAGAAAGATATCTGCACCCTCAGGTTCATAGCAGCATTATTTGCAATAGTCAAGATGTGGAAACAACATAAGTTTTTATCAACAGATAAATGAATGAAGTTGTGGTATATACCCATATATATTTTTTTCATATATGTATATTCCATATATATATATATATATACATATATGGAGAAGGGAATGGCAACCCACTCCAGTATTCTTGCCTGGATAATTCCATGGACAGGAGCCTGGCGGGCTACAGGCCAAGGGTCACAAAGAGTCGGACATGCTGAGTGACTGTGCACACACAGTATACATATATATATACACATTTATATAATATATATACAATTAATATAATATCATACACAACAAGAAAGACAAGGCGATCCTATGATTTGTGATGACGTGGATGGACCTTGCCCTCAATTATACTAAGTGAAGTCAGCAGAGAGAGGAAATACTGTATGAACTCACTTATATTGGGAATCTTTTTTAAAAAATTTAAAAACAAACTCATGAAAAAGAGATCAGACTTGTGGTTACCAGAGGCAGAGGGTGGAGGGGGGAAAGACTGGAGAAAGGTGGTCCAAAAGTGCAAACTTCCATTTGCAAGATAAGTAAGTACTAGTGACGTAACGTACTACGTGATGACTCTAGTTTGCACTGCTATTTGATACAAAGCAGTGTTATTAAGAGAATGAATCCTAGGAGTTCTCAACATGAGGAAACCTTTTTTTTCTTTCTCTTTTCTTATTGTATCCATATGAGAGGATGGGTGTCAGATGAACCTATTGTGACCACAATTTCACAACAGATGTAACTCAAACTGTACACCATAAGCTTATACAGTGATGTACGTCTATTATTTCCTGAAAAAACTGGAGGGGAAAAAAGAAACATTTTTGTCTTGCTAGAGAGCAAGGTTGATTGCAAACCGTCTGTTTCATTTTAAAAATCCCTCTTAAGACAAAGGGGAAACACCAAGAGGGAGACTGAAACAGCAAGCCTGGCAAAGCATGATGTCCACGATTGACTCCTGATTAGAACAGGACAGTTAGAGGGGCGGGGTGGAACAGACCAGAGGCGGACCCCCGACGCGCCTCCGCACAGACTCACAGCTCCTCGGGAGACCCTGGCTGACGGTGAAGTGGCTGGTGCATATGGAGCCAGTTAGAAAGTCAGGAAGGTCGTTCTGGTGACTTTGAACAGCGAGTAGCAGAAGGAAACCCTCGGAGGGGCTTCTGACAGCAAAATATAAGTCTTCCATGGGTAAAGACAGATCAGAATTGAAGTAAGCTAGAGTGTTGCTGAAGAATAAAAAGGATGTCAGATAACTGATGGTAAATTGGTGTGAAAAGCCCATGTCATGCGAGGTGTGACATTTTAAAGGATTGTTATTGGAGTATAGTCACTTACAGGGTTATGCTAGTTTCCACTGTACAGTGAAGTGATTCAGCTATGTTGTTGTTTAGTTGCCAAGTCATGTCCGACTGTTTGCAACCTCATGGACTGCAGTGCGCCAGGCTTCCCTGTCCTTCGCTATGTTCCAAAGTTTGGTAAACTCACATTCACTGAGTCAGTGATGCCATCCAACCATCTCATGCTCTGTCAACTCCTTCTCCTTCTGCCTTCAATCTTTCCCAGCCTCAGAGTCTTTCCCAGTGAGTCAGCTCTTCCCATCAGGTGGCCCAAGTATTGGAGCTTCAGCTTCAGCATCAGTCCTTCCATTGAATATTCAGAACTGATTTCCTTTAGGATGGACTGGTTGGATCTCCTTGCAGTCCCTTAGACTCTCAAGAGTCCTTGCCAGCACCACAGTTCAAAAGCATCAATTCTTTGGCGCTCAGGCTTTTTTGTGGTCCAACTCTCACATCCGGAAACTGGAAAATCAGCTATTACATATAGCCCCTCTTTGGGGAATCTCCTTCCAATTTAGGTCACCATAGAGCATTGCGTAGAGGTCCCTGAGCTGTACGATAGGTTCTCATTAGTCATCTATTTCATACAGTGTCTCTAGCGTATACGTGTGACATTTCTTGGCATATTGTCCCCTCTGTATCCTCACTGAAAGTTGGCATGCCATCTTAGCCGGTTAATATTCACTGGTGATCTGTGTCAAGGCTGTGCCAAGGGCTTTCCCAGTGATTAGCTTCTTGAACTTTTGCAGCCCTCCTTTTTCAAGAGGAAGCCGAGGTTTGAAGAATCAGTGATCCATCTGAGATGGTCCGGCTAGGAAGTTACAGGATTAGGGTTAGATCCTCAGATCTTGTTGATTTCTGTGGTTACCATCCCTTGTCCTAGACCATGCTGCTCTCGTGTCTTTGTAAGTGTGATAATTTATGTTCAGTCAATCCCCAGAACTGTCATTTTCTGCAAAATGTTATTTCCATAGGAATAAGTTAAGCTGCAAGGAGAACTTTATCACACTATTCATATAGTATGGCTTGCTTCCCTGAACTGGGTCACCACCCTGGGTAACAATTACCTACACTGTAAGGTTTGCCTTATTAATCTGAACTAGATAAAAATAACTGGCTTCACAGAGCTTTCGAAACAGTCTTCAAACTCCAAGATTTACTAATAATTGAATAGAGTGACTCATAATTGGAAAGGCAAGTGATTTTGCTTGCTTATTGGCTGTGAGATATGAGATAAGCTGTTTAAACTCTAGACTGACCCTGTCCCGTACGATCACACTGGTCACATGTAGCCATTTAAATTTCTATTTTAATCTATTAAAATGAAATGCAACTATGGGTTCACTTCCTCAGTTGCAATAACTATGTGGCTTTTGAGCATGTAAAACATGGCTAGTGCCACTGAGGAAGCGCATTCCAGAGGCAGAGGGTGGAGGAAGGAAATGAAAACACTAACTTAGAAAGAATCTGCACCCTCAGGTTCATAGCAGCATTATTTACAATAGCCAGGATGTGGAAACAACATAAGTTTTTATCAACAGATAAATGAATGAAGTTGTGGCATATATACATATATATGTGTATATATATATTTCATATATGTATATTCCATATATATACATATATGGAGAGGGAAATTTTTAATCTTAATTGATTAAAATAGAAATTTAAATGGCTAATATATTGGATGGTGCAGAGAGTTCTCTTGGACAGCACTGCTCTAAATCTGAAATTCAAACCCCTCAAAGTCTTCTGATGCTGTTTCCTGTCTGGTAATGGGTCTAAGATCTAATGATAATTATCACTGCACCGTAAGATAGCATGTAAAAGGCTTTGCAAACTATAAAGTGTTATATAAATTCTGTTACCTTATTGCAGTGTCATAAAATCATCTAGTCTTTGACATACTAATACTTTGGCCCTTGGGTCTTACAATCATGTCAGCTCTTTTTCAGAAGTTGAATTATGGATCTTGAAGCTGGCATGTATGCTTTGTTCTTTAAGATATACACACATATCTAATTATGTAATGTAGGCAATTATACCACGTAATACGACCATCGTCACTTTCCCACATGGACCATATCTATTGGAAGTTAACAGAAAAAGTTCCAGTCCACGAAAGCTGCTGAGTCCCGAGTGCTGCCTGGTGAGAAAGTGATGGCTGTGGGTTGCAGAAGAGGTGAACGGGTAACAGTGTCAGGGCGCCTCATGGTGTTGGTGGCCATCAAGCTTATTAACTCTCAGCAGCCCCGGTGACTACTGCACGCCTCACTCGGACTCCAGGACAGGATGTGACTTCTGGGTACCGCTGCCCTCCCTGAGCCTGGCTGGTGTCTTTCAGGGAACTGCGGAGCCTCTCCGGCGTGAAGCTTTCAGCCGGCACCATGGAAAGGAACCTGAAGAACGTCCTCGTGCTCTCCTTGGGGTTTCTGCTGCTCTTCACTGCCTACGGAGGGCTGCAAAGTCTGCAGGTAGGTGTGCGACGGCCGTCTGACCTCACCTCCGGGATGCCTCTGGGACACCAAGATTACCCGTGCTGCAGACGGCGAGGAAGGTGGTGTCTGTCCAGATCACCCTCCCCAGTCCTCTACACAGACATGGCTCCACACGCAGCCCCTGCTTCCAGTTCAGCGGGATTGCACAACTGCTGGTGTCTGACCCTTGGACGAGGAGAGCGGGACTTGGGTCAGTGGTTTGATAAGGTCCACCTTGCCTTTTGTGGGTGAGAGGAGACACACGACTAATCACTGTGAATCTGTGGTCGGGGCGGTAATGCGAATGCGTCAGAGGTCCGCATGGACTCCTGCTTGATCTGCCCCGGGTAGTTCCACTTCATGTCTGATCTTTCACCATGAATGAAGCCTCGAGGAACCCCCAGGGGTGGGCAGGAAGGAGCCGGTCTTCAGGCCCCTGGTGCCGCCTTCACCAGCTCTGTGCCTTGGGCGCTGCCCCTCCGTGAAGCATTCGTGAGGTTTCTGACGACATGTAGTGTGGTCCCGCAAGGTCTGTCAGTCAGGCTCCTACTGAGCGCATGGTATTGAACCAGAATAGCACACAGAAGGGGCTCAGAATCGGAGGGTCAAGACAGGAGTAGAGATTCAAACCTTCTGTTCTCATTGTTACAGTGCAAACTCTGGACTTGTGGTTGATGAGGAAGCTCAAATTCAGCCCTGAACCCCAAGTTCATGTTTTCCTCAATGAACCCCTATCTGGTCTCTTTCTGATTAAGCTCTCAGAGAATGAAATTTCAGCCCAGGGGGATGCCCGGAGTCAACTGAAGGGGAAGCACAGTCCCTTTCTTGCCAGGATCCTCCATGACTTTGTAGACACTGGTCAGCGCTCTGGGATGTAAAGTCCTAGCATGTGTGAAGCACCTGCGTTTTGGGGCTGCACTGAGCTCGTGTTGAATGTGGTGAGTGGTGTCCGGAAGGAGAGCTGAGGGAGAGCGTGGACCCATCGGTGCCACCGTCCACACAGGAGGAAGTCGCCCTGGCGTGGGCTGGTGGGGTCAGAATTCTCAGGGAGCAGTTGTGATCTGACAGCAGATTGGCCCCTGGACCGAGAAGCCAGTCAGCGAGGGGCCACGTTAGGATCTCCCCAGACTCCCAGCTCTCGGGACAGTGGACCTCGAGGATACACACGATCTGAGGGCCTCCCTAGGAGCCTGTCAGAGCAGCCTCTGTGTGCGGAGAGCGTGCAGGTGAGCGGAGGCCGTGCCAGCCTACACGTCTTCCCCAGGGCGCCTGCTGGGGGCCCGCTGTCACTGGCGTGGCCTCCTCCTCCTCAGAAGACCAGTGATCTTGGAGAACCAGACCTCCAACCTGTCATGGGAGGAGCCCACCTACCCCTCACCCCTCTCTGTCCCTGCTAATTGGGCCATATCTCCTCGCCCACTGATCCAGAGCATGTTGTGTCTGAATGCTTGCAGCCGGAACTGGCTTCAGAAACAACATGTAAGGACAGCATGGATGTGGCCTTCAGGGTGGCTGGATCCCACGTTGGAGGGATCTGCCTGCCTCCATCACTTCCTTCTGCTTTCATCTGCTTGGCGTCATTCTCGGGCCCCAGAGAGGTAGCAAAGGTGGCCATGAGCATGCCCAGCATCCCAGCCCTGGTCTGGATGTGGTCGTGCACTTGCCGGGGACCCAGACACACGTCTACGCCGCCTCCCACGTGAGCCGTCAGCCTCCTGTTTATCATTCTGGTCGCAGTGTGCCTGTCGCATTTTTCCTGCTCCATCCCTGTGCCCGGGGTCTCACGTCTGTGTGGTGTGCACCTGGGGTCCTGTGGTTCACACCACATGGTGTGTGGATTCCACGAGGCCGGCCCCCACCCCCCAACGGCACTGTCACGTCCCTGCCTCAGACAGCGCTTGGCGCGCTTGATGGCCGTTTGGTGAGTGAAGCCGTTGATATGTGCTCATCTCCTGCTTAAGCCCCTCTGGGGCTCTCCACGGGCTTACAGATCCGCTCCAGGCCCCCAGGACGGGGTCCGGGCCTCCCCAGGTCTAGTCGTGCAGCCGCATCTCCCTGGAAGAGAGCTTAGTGGCTCTGGCTGAAGCATCTGACTGTTCTGGGGTCTCCCCTCTCAGGATGGGGCCTCTGTAACCCACGCCCTAAACATCCCCCCCTCACCTACACCTCCTGATATTTCCCTGGTCACCTCCATGTCCTGCAGTTCTCACGCCTTCCAGAGAGTCTTCTGACACGAGAAGGCCTAGCCTTCGCGTCCTCCTAGGAGGTTGGCCCCCGAGTCTCCCCCGCAGGGCTCACTGTCCCCTGCGGTAGCCTGTGGGCAACATCACTGACACCTGATATCCGTGCAGGTGTTGTCTTTTTCTTGAGCATCCCTGGAGCCTCACATCAGCCGCTACTGGTCCACACTTGTGACCGATCGACCTGCAGATCAAGTTGAGTGACCAGCCTCGCTGTTGAGTACAGGTCACTCCCATGGGCTTTTTCTTGGGCAGGTATTTTGCAAATTGGTTCTCCTCACATTTGCAAAGACAGGCCTTTGAACACGGTCACTGGTGTAAGAAAGAGGCATTTGCTTTTGAAAGTCGTTTCCCGTGTTGGAGGTTGAGATCCACCTTCTTTCCCAGCGGTGGGTAGTGAAGCGCTATGGTCAGTGACAGACATACCTGCTGGTTGGCTGTGGGGCTGTGGGGGCAAGGGCATTCTGGCACAGAGCCCCGATGCCAGCCTCTCATTAGCACATGAAGGGGAAAGCTCACGAGTCAGGAGGCGTTAGGCTCGAGTATTAAGCGAGTAAGGGGCCCTGGCCAAGCCCGTTCTCTTGCTCCATGCTCCAGGAGACTAGTTACGAGCAGAAATTTCCAGGTAACCCCCACTACAGAGCAGACTATTCAACTTCTGACTTCCAACCAGATTTTAGAATTTTCATGGGTCCAGTTCTTGTTTTCAGTGCCAGTTAATCAGCCAACACGATTAAGTACCTATTTGGGGCAAGGCACTCGGGAAGATTCAGAAAAAGCACACCTCCCTGAACTCAAGACCCTTGGAGACGCTTGACCTGTGCCTGAAGAAAGGGCACCATCTGGACAGAGGAGGATGGTCAGAGGGCGGGGCGTCTGCGCGGAGGAAAGAGCCAGTCCTGGAGTGAGCTCGCCGGCGGGCCTGCCGTCTGCAGGGGGCGTCAGAGCGCCCGGCGGGTGGGTGGGGTCCCCTGCGGTCTCTCTCGCAGGTCGGGGGCACCTGGTAGGAAGGAAGGTGAACGGTGCCGGTGTTTACGTCGGGGTTTGGCGTCGTCTGGACTAGTTAGCTGGGTGTGCGACTGGACACGGTGCGCGGCTTTCCCGAGGGCGCAGGGCCCCCATCCCAGCCGGAAGCAGAAGGAACGCGGGAGCTCTCAGCTCAGTGCCTGCTGCCAGCACTCAGGCCATGGTGGTTTCCTGAGTCTGGGGCTCTGGCTTCTGCAGGGGAGAGACCCTGTTGGGGTCGTGTTTCTCCCCTGGTGTCTGGTCAGTGGCCTGGAGGCCAGCCGGCATCCCTCCACGAATGACCGCAGGGCCGGGCTGAGCAGGACGTGGAGGTGAAGGAAACAGGGTCCAGAGGGAGGGTCTGGCTGCCGGGGAGAGCACTTGTTTGCTTCCCCTCTCCTCCCCTCCCCTCCCCCTCCTCCCCTCATCCCCTCCTTTCCTTCTACATGTGAAACAAATGGAAGAAACAATCAGACTGGTTCTTCTTTCACAGCAAAACCCAAACGTCACCCCGGCATGGCCTTTGCCAAGCGGGTCTGGTACCTATCCGACCTTTTGGCCCCTTCACACTAAGCTACGCTAAGCACTCAAGTTAAAAACAACAGCACTAGGAGAAGCGTGCGCTTGTGTTTGCACACCTTCAGACCGGGGCTTCTTGCTCAGCCAGATTGCTCATCTCCCGAGGAGCATGGGGACCCCAGGGCTCCCGGCTGCCTGGATGCCCTCTCCCCTCTCCCGACAGGGGGGCAGGTGCTGGAAAAGTCTGAGCTGCCCCATGGTCTCTGAGCTGCCAGGGGCCCTGGGCTGCCCGTCCCTGGGCTCCAGAGTTGCTGACTCAGCTTGATCCGAGTCCACTGCCATCTCGTCTGCCCCGTCCCTCCCTCGGCTGGGGGACAGGAAGCCTGCCGCTGGGCCTCGGGGGCGGGAGGCGGCCCGGAGCGCCTGGCCCCGGCTTCTGACGGCCGGTCGTGTCCCCGCAGAGCAGCCTGTACAGTGAGGAGGGCCTGGGTGTGGCGGCGCTCAGCACGCTCTACGGCGGCATGCTGCTGTCCTCCATGTTCCTGCCGCCCGTCCTCATCGGGAAGCTCGGCTGCAAGTGGACCCTCGTGCTCGCCATGTGCTGCTACGTGGCCTTCTCCCTCGGCAACTTCTACGCCAGCTGGTACGCCCGCTCCCAGCGGCTGCTGCACCCCGCCCTGTGCCCGGGGCAGGCCGTGACCGCGTCCCCTGCTTTCCCGCCAAGATGCCCCGACCCCCAACCTGACCTCTCCACGAGCCCCCCAGCTTCCCTCCTGGGCCAGGGAGGGCACGTTCACGGCCCCAGCAGCAAGGGGAGAAGCTGCCTAAGCTGTGGAGGGTGAATTTCAGGGAGACCGAGCAGAATGTGACCTGGGCCAAACCTCACACGCTCAGCCCATCACAAAGGGTGCATGTGGCAGGGCTGGAGCCGGTGTCCCAGGCTGCACCTGAGCTCTGCCTGCTCCGGGATGGACAGGGACCCTCAAGGGACACTTGCTCCCAGGGGCATGCTGCTCAAGCGTCTCCTGGAGGGACACCCTTTGTCATCCAGGATGTACTGATGTGCTGCAGTGTCTGACTCTTTGATACCCCGTGGGCTGTAGCCCACCAGGCTCCTCTGTCCACGGGGTTCTCCAGGCAAGAACACTGCCGTGGGTGGTCATTGCCTACTCCAGGGGGTCTTCCTGGCCCAGGGATGGATCCCACGTCTCCTGCCCTGCAGGTAGGGTCTTTACCACTGAGCCACCAGGGAAGCGCAGTGCTATGGTGGATTCACGTTATTCTTTCTCTTGTTACCAGACAGGGTCCTCCTACAGAGAGCGATAGACAGGGAGGTGGGTGCATACATAGATAATAAATCAGGTTTAATCTTCTGCCATTAGAAATATCTAGAACCCTCCCAGTCTTATCTATTGTCCCAGCTCACTGTAGCTGCATCCAAGCACAAAAACAGTACTGACACCAAATTTCACTCTTACAAATGACCCTGAACCAGCAAAGTGTCTGATTTTCTCATTCATCTGAGTCTGAGGGTGGCTCAGTCAAGCTGGCCAACCCAACAACACAGTAACCTTCCCTGGGCCAGGCCGGGAGCTAGGGAGGGAGGAAGGGGCCAAGGCAGCCCACGTCCACTTTCGTCTCTCAGGTACACTTTGATCCCCACCTCCATCCTGGTGGGACTCGGGGCCGCCACGCTGTGGTCTGCACAGGGCACCTACCTCACCATCGTGGGGAACATGCAGGCGCAGAAGACAGGACAAGTCGGCAAAGACGTGGTCAACCAGTACTTCGGCATCTTCTTTCTCATATTCCAGTCGTCCGGTGTGTGGGGCAACCTGATCTCATCTCTCGTGTTCGGCCAGACGCCCACTCAAGGTAACAGGAAGTGGGGGCCACCCAGGGTCCCTGGTCCCTCCCCTCATGTCCTCATTCAGGACATGAGCAGGTGGTCACGTGGGGCCCCCAGACCTGGTTCTCAGACTGCATGGACCCCAGCTCCTCCCTGGACAGTCTGGTCGGGTCTGAGGGCCCGCCTAATCCCTGGGTGCCTTGACCGCCAGTCCTTAGGGAGAGGTGTCCTGGGGAAACTGAGGGCCACTACCTGTGGAACGCGAGTTCATAGAGTCCTTCAGTTCAGTTCAGTTCAGTTCAGTGGCTCAGTCGTGTCCGACTCTTTGCGACCCCACGGACTGCAGCATGCCAGGCCTCCTTGTCCATTGCCAACTCCCAGAGCTTACTCAAACTCATGTCCATTGAGTCGGTGATGCCATCCAACCATCTCATCCTCTGTTGTCCCCTTCTCCTGCCTTCAGTCTTTCCCAGCATCAGGGTCTTTTCCAATGAGTCAGTTCTTCAAAACAGGTGGCCAACATATTGGAGTTTCAGCTTCAGCATCAGTCCTTCCAATGAATATTCAGGACTGATTTCCTCTAGGATGGACTAGTTGGATCTCCTTGCAGTCCAAGGGACTCTCAAGAGTCTTCTCCAACACCACAGTTCAAAAGCATCAATTCTTAAGTGCTCAGCTTTCTTTACAGTCCAAGTCTCACATCCGTACACATCCATGGAGTCCTTACTATCCTTCTAGACTAAGAATGGTTTCCAGGAATTTATTTTCCCACTGAATCAACCCATTCACCAGTATTTTCAATATTACACAAAAGGCCACTATCCCCAACAGATTTGAACATTTGATGACCAGGGTCTTAACTTTTTTCTCTACCCAGCCTCACTCAGACAGGGTTACAGAGTGTGTGTCTGTTTTATGCCTGCACACTTTGCTATCTGAAGACTTCAACCAAGGGAAGAGGAAATGCATGTCTTCAGTTCTCACAGGAAGCTTTATTAATGGGGAAGAAGTGCTAACTCTCCCGTTATCAGGACTATTTCTCTCTGCCTTGGTCCTCTGTGTTGCTTATCTACTCAAGTCCCAGCTTTCAGAAATAAGAATCTTTCCTCCCTTTTTGCTCACATGATGTCATCCTTGCTGAGCACATCTGCAGAGGGAAATCGCAGGGTTGATAGACACCAATCATTACTTGGTATTGTCCAAACCATCAGCAATCAACCAACCGAAGCTGGGGTGAAAGTTCAGGCTCTGACATCACTGGTGTGGAGGTGTGAACAGGTTCACTTTTAAAGGCATACAGACAAGTAAGCTTAACCTCTCCCTGGTCACTGGACACAGAATTTGAGGGCTGGAAGGCACATTGGGAGCCTTGCAAGGCGTCTCCACCTTTCTGTGCCCCCAGCCTCCACACTGCCGCCTTGTCCGTGGGCTGGACACCTCCTCAGTCACAGGGATCCTGCGGCATCTCGTGCGCTGAGCTCACTATTATGGGAACGATGGAACACCGAGGATGCTTGTCTGTGACATGTGTCCCCTTTCTTCAGAGATTCGATGTGGGTCTACTGAGAGTCACTGATCGCTCACATGTCTCTCTTTTTACGGCTAAGAAAGCAACATTCAGAGACAATATGAATGAACCCGCCCACAGTGACGGGTCTCTTTACAGATGAGTCTGAGAACCCAGTGGGCCTGACACCTGGTCTAATGTACCCTATTTATCTTTCTGAAAAGTGGAAAACTTTCGATGAAGTTAGCAACACAATATAACCATAAGCTAGCATTTTTTCCACACGAGTCCGGAGTGTCTTAAAATCAAGCATATAGATGTTTCCGAGGAGAGACGTGGCTGAGACACTGGGCGGAACAGCCCCCATGGTTGGCTCTGACCCGTGGGGGGTCTCATGCTCCACATGGCCACACTCCTCTCCTCGGTGCATCCTTCTTCGTGTCCCGTCTCCTGTCACAAGTACACCGTGTCCTCAGTCCGCCTCTCTGCTTCCCCAGGGACCATCCCGGAGGAGCAGCTGCAGACCTGCGGGGCCAGCGACTGCCTGATGGCCGTGGCGTCCACCAACAGCACGAGGCGGCCCTCCCAGGACCTCATCTACACGCTCATGGGCATCTACACAGGTACGTGCCGGCCCCAGGAACCCGGGCAAAGCAAGACGAATGCCTTCCCGGGCCAAAAGGACTGCCTTCTCAGGGCACGGATGATCTGAGCTTATCTGCACACGCCCCTCAGAATGCGTTCAGCTGCGGGTGCCTGGGCCTTTTCCTACATGAAACCCGGGGCAGCAGCCTCTGCTGTTGGAGGTCTCGCGTGATGATGGAAACAGCCCCGCGTCTGCACCGTCCAGCCCCACGGTCATCACATGTGCTTATTGAAATTCTAATTAACGAAAGTAAGATGACTCTTCCGAGGTCACAGCCGCACGGTCCACGTGCTCACGGCCACGCGGGGCTGCGGCCACCCTGTTGGCGGCACCGAGGGGCCCGCGGCCTCGGTGCATCGGATCCTTGTGGGGCTTCCCTGGTGGCTTAGATGGCAATGAACCCGCCTGCAATGTGTGAGACCCAGGCCCAATCCCTGGGCCAGGAAGATCCCCTGGAGGAGGGCATGGCAACCCTCTCCAGTGTTCTTGCCTGGAGAATGCCGTGGACAGAGGAGCCTGGTGGGCTGCAGTCCAGGGGGTCGCACAGAGTCAGACACGACGGAGTGAATGTCACACTTCACGTTTCAGCTACATCGGGTTGGATCTGGAAGTCCCAGATCTCGGGCTTATCACCTTTTTCTGAAGCATATACTTGAATGGCTTCCGAGAGGCTGGGGCTGGGCGGGCGTCTCCCACTGCCCACCCTTGGGCATCTGTGAAGCCTCGTGGCTCCTGCTGCTGGCCACAGGGCAGCAGATGGTGCGGAACACCGGAAGTGTGTGAGCACATGGCTGCCCAAGGGGAGTGAGTCCCCGTGATGGCGCTCATCCGCACTGTTCAGCCACTCAGTCGTGTCCGACTCCTTGCCACCCCACAGGCTGCAGCACGCCAGGCTTCCCTGTCCTCCTTCATCTCCTGGAGCTCACTCAAACTCATGTCCATTGAGTCGGTGATGCCATCCAACCATCTCATCCTCTGTCGTCCCCTTCTCCGCCTGCCTTCAATCTTTCCCTGCATCAAGGTCTTTTCCAATGAGCCAGTTCTTTGCATCAGGTGGCCAAAGTATTGGAGCTTCAGCTTCAGCATCAGTCCTTCCAATGAACACCCAGGACTGATTTCGTTTAGGATGGACTGGTTTGATCTCTTATCCTTAAGATGCTTATTTGAATGAAAAATTTCTAAATGACTCCACTACTTTGGGCATACCTTTAGATTAGATTTTTGGTTTTTTGGTGTCCATTTGAAAAAAATTTAAGGATATTCTTTATCATTCTTGAATTCTGGAATCTGTGAAGGCCTTGAATTGTATCCTTAATGACCAGGAGTCTGATAAGAGTCAGATTTTATGGGGCTGAGTGCAGACGCCACTGGGAATCAAAGGTCGGGAGGCCGTGGGCACAGTTGGCTTGTCTCCATGGAGAGATCAGCTACCACCAACACTCTGGTCTCTTTCAAAGTCACTTCCACATCAGAGGTGCCGAGGGGGCCCTTTACGCTAGCAAACCAGAGTGAGCACTAGAGGTGGGGCCCAGAAACCAGGCAGATGAGGTCCTGGCTGTCGGTGACCTTAGAGGCCAGATGTGTGTTCAACTAATCACAATTTGAGAGGATGAGTGTTTTGAACAAAGCTGTCAGCTGACAAGTAGCGACATCTCCTTGGGAAGTTGGGCTCTAGGGCAGCTCTGATGGGGAGGTGGTGCCCAAGCGGGAACTGAAGGATGAGTAGGAATTTACCAGCAGAGGAGGAGAGATGAGTGGGCCCTGAAGGCAGAGAAGCCCCAGAGGCAGCCAGCGGGGCTGGAGGCCAGAAGGCGAGGCAGGGAGCCCGTGTGCATGTGCGCGGCCCCTGCAGCCCTGCACGGCAGCCTTTCCCCCCCTGTCCTTTCAGGGTGCGGCTTCCTGGCGGTCCTGCTCACAGCTGTGTTTCTGGAACCCGTAAAAGATGCTGGGCCGGAAGGTGACAGCGAGAAGCGGGCGACTCCTTTCTGGTCCACTTTGCTGTCGACGTTTAAGCTGCTCAGAGACAAGCGCCTGCGTCTCCTGATCCTGCTGCCGATGCTCAGCGGGTTCGAGCAAGCCTTCCTGTCGGGCGACTACACACGGGTAAGAGAGGGGCTGGCTGGCGGGTGGCTCAGGGCTCCCTGGGGCTGCACTCCGCCCTTCCGGCCTCAGGGGAGCTGCCCGTGGGTCTGGACGTGAGCTCACCTGGCCTGGGACCTTCCTGGGGACACCTCTTGCTTGAGACATGTCTCCAGGTAAAGGACCAAAGCTGCTCGGGAGTCATCGCAGTGACTCTGCCTGCATCTCACCCAGCATCCTTGTCTTAGAGTAGAGAATAGAGAAAGCACTGAAATCTACAAATAACACTGAAATTCCTTATTACCTAGCTTTTAAAGATTTTTTATTCTACATTAAAGTCTAGTTGATTTACAGTGTTGTGTTACCAGGTGTACAGCGGGGTGGTTCAGTTATACATCTGTATGTATACATTCTCTCTCAAATTCTTTTCCCATTTAGGTTATAACAGAATATTGAGCAGAGTTCCCTGTGCTCTACAGTAGGTCCTTGTTGGTTATCCAGTTCAAATATAGCAGAGTGTACATGTTCACCCCAAACTCCCTAACTGTCCCTTCCCTCCATTCTTCCCCTGCTCATTACCATAAGTTAGTTCTCCAAGCCTCTGAGTTTGTTTCTGTTTTGTAAATGAGTTCATTTGCATCATTTATCATATGATATTTGTCTTTCTCTGGCCAACTTTACATAGTATGATAATCTCTAGTCACATCCATGTTGCCACAAATGACATCATTTCATCCTTTTACGGTTGAGTAGTATTCCATTGCACGTATGTACTGCATCTTTATCCATCCATCTGTGGATGGACATCTAGGTTGCCTCCGTGTCTTTGCTACTGTAAACAGTGCTGCAATGAACGTTAGGGTGCGTGTATCCTCTGAGGCCATGTTCTTCTCTGAATATTTGCCCAGGAGTGGGATTGCAGGGTCATAAGGTAGCTCTACTTTTAGTTTCTTAAGAAGTCTCCACACTGTTTTGCATGAGAGCTGTACTAATTTATACTCCCTCTTACAGTGTAGAAAGATTCCCTTCTCTCCACACTCTCTCCAGCATTTATTGTTTGTAGACCTTTTGATGACGGCCATTCTGGCTGGTGTGAGGGGGTACCTGGCGGTAGTTTTGATTTACGTTTCTCTAGTGATTAGCGATGGTGAGCATCTCTTCACGTGCCTCTTGCTCCTCTGTATGTCCTCTCTGGAGAAAGGTCTATTTGGGCCCTTACCTAGTTCTTAAATAATGAGTTACAGTCTAGAAACGGAGGTGGCTCAGTGCAGTTGATGCCCTTTCCCTGGCTGTCCACGTGCCCCCTGCACTGTCTGCCCACTTTGTGCCTTCTTCAGGGGTCCTTGTTCAGGCGTGGCTGTAGAGGAGCCCGTGTCTGGCTGGCCACCTTTATCGAGGGTCTCTCCCGGAGCCCGTCTCCAGAGCCCCTGCCCAGGTGGGGTTCTGTCCTGGAGAGCCCTGTGGGATGCCTTGGAAGGGATGTCACAGACAGGGACGGTAGAGAGAAGGTTTCTGCCCAGAAAGTGTGGGAGAGGAGCTGGGTGTTGGAGGGGCTGGAGACAGCCAGGGCCAAGGCTGGACCCTCCGGCCTATGTCGAGAGACCCGCCCCCGAGGACCACCACTCTTCCTCCAGGGAACTTCCATTCCAGCCCCCCCGACGGCTCCTTCCCAGGAGGGGCTGCCAGACTGGCAGGGAAAAAGGCAGGGCACGGATTTGAGTTCCAGACAGACTGCAACCCCCCCTCGGTGTATGGCCCTGCATGCTCGGGCGCCCGGGGCTGCCCGTGGCCCATGCTCTGAGGACTGCCCCATTGGAGTCCTGGAGTTTCCAAGAACGACAGGGATGACGCACAATCCCTGGGTCTGGATGCGGCCACTCCCCTCGGACTTGTCAGGGACCGCCGCCCGTGAGCTCGGGCAGGGCCTGCACCATCCGGGGCCTCCTGCTGTGTCTGTCCTGATTCTGTGGGCGTGAGAGCCGCAGCCCTTGAGCCCTGGTCCCCGGGGGCCCCTCCACCCCCCACCTCCCGGGTCTGGGGCAGGAGGTCTTTCTGTTCTTCTCATCTCTATGGAGATTCCTTCCCTGTTCATTCCATGTTTTTTATTAAGACCTTATTTTTTGGAGCAGTTTTAGGTTCACAGTAAAACTGAGCAGAAATTAGAGATTTCCCGTACCCCCCCACCCCGACCCCGCCGGGCCATGGCCTCCCCCACTGTCTACAGCCCATTTGTCCGCCTGTCACTACTGGCGCACCCACACGGACACATTCTCATCACCCCGCGTCCTGCGGCTTCCCGGGGGCTCGCTCTTGGTGTGTGTGTTCTCGGGGTTTGGACGCAGGCGTGATGACATGAATGCATCATGACGGTATCATTCAGGGCAGCTTCAGGGCCCTAAAGCTGCCCGAGCCCCCTGCTCACCCCCAGCTCTGTCCTCAGCCAGCTTCCTACAGGCAGGAGGGGCACCGCCCGCTGCAGCAAGAAGACTTCAGACTGAACAATAGTGCACCACACCTGCACTGCAGGGACACGGGGAGAAGGTCCGTCCACACGGTCCCCTCTTAGTTCTCCCTCTAAAGGGCCGCCAACACTGCCTCCGCCTGCGAACGGAAGGCCCGGACAAGTTTCAGGCCAGCTCAGCAGGCCAGCAGTCACACGGCAGACAGCGTCTTAGCACAGCCTGGATTCCCTGACTCGGATGAGCCCCCAGAGCGCGGAGGCTCCCACGCCGGGCCCCTGAGCGGGGCGAGGCCGGCGCGGGTGACCTCTGCTCTCTCCCGCAGTCCTACGCCACCTGCGCCCTGGGGATCCAGTTCGTGGGCTACGTGATGATCTGCTTCGGGGCCGTCGACGCCCTGTGCTCCGTGCTCTTCGGGAGGCTGGCCCGGCACACCGGCAGGATCGCGCTCTTCATGCTGGGTAGGAGGGTGCTGGGTGCGGCCCATCGGGCTGGGGGTTGGGGTGAGGACGGGGGTCGCTGGAGGCACAGAGAGTGGGCGGGCGGGGGTCAGGCGGGAGGCAGGGAGCCTCCCAGAAGGAGGAGATCTCGGTTCACGCACCGGATGCAGCTGGCTGTCTAAACATGCAGACCCTTCTGCTTCCCCTGGGGGCCAGGGAGCAGCAGACGCAAGGTGACAGTGAGAAGTGAGGGTGTTCACAGAGACAGCTAGAGTCTTTTGATTTATATTGAGGAACAGAGATGCCTAGTAACTTGCCCAAGGTCACAGAGCCCTGGGAAACCCCGGAGGGTCCCAGGCTGCTCTGTCCCCCTGGTCGGGGGGCATCACAGGGTCTGCAGACTCACGAAGCCGAGACCTCGGCCATGAGGACAAAGTCTGGAGGAGCGAGGAGGCCCTGCCCACAGCCCCTGCCTCCCTGTCCTGTTTTGAAGGCCCAGCTCCCAGGCTGGGTGGTCCTTTTCCCCTCCCCTCCCCACGCCCCCCACTCAGTGAGAAGCAGGGGTCCCACCAATCACCCTGAATGAAGAAGCCCAGTCTCTCCCACCCTGAGCCCCCACAATCTGGGGCCTCCTCTGCCCAGCAAGATGACACTTTGCTCTAAGACGCAGAGGTGTGTCACCCCAAGGCCCCCCGCCCTTGCCCCCGTGGAGGCCACAGCTGGGCAGAGTCCCGCACCTGCAGGGGTGATCCCCGGCAGCCGCCAGCCGTACGGGTCATGTCAAAGGCACGGGAGAAATCATGCGGCCGTAGTCTAGGGAGCAGGGGGTCGGAGGTTCGGCTGGCGGCTCCGAGGGTCTGAGAGGAGCCCCCGGCCCCCCCCTTCCCCCAGGGGCCGTGACCCAGCTGGCCTGCATCATCGCCCTCCTGCTGTGGAAGCCACACCCCAGCCAGCTGCCCGTGTTCTTCGTGTTCCCCGGCCTCTGGGGCATGGCTGACGCGGTCTGGCAGACACAGAACAACGGTGAGTGCCTGGCGCACGGCCGTCCCGCTCAGGGGCCCCAGTTTGGCCAGCCGCGGAGGGCACAGGGTCCCCGAAGGGAGATGGGGAGATGCACGTCAAGGAGCAGGGGCCAGAGGGCGGGCCCCACTTCCTCCTGCAGACTTGGATGCACGATGCCCGGGATAAAAGGCAACCGAGTGCGCAGCTGTCCTTGCTAACGCGACCGTCCTGTCGTGGGTCCCCCCGGAAGAGCTCCTCTGGGCACAGCGATGTCCTGCCCGTGGTGTCTGGGCAGAAGGGCTTCTGCCTGCTGAGGCGGGGGTTTGGGGGGGAGCCAAAGCTTACAGGTTACCATGGCAACATCCCTCGGTGGGCAGGGAGAACTGAGCTAGGGGGTGGGAGGGGTCAGTCGCGGCCTCATCCTGGGGCCACGCCCGAGTGGCCAGTGGCATCCAGTCTGATTGTCGTCTGGGCAGCGGGGAGCCGGCGGGGGGGCGGGTGGGGGAGGCCGGGAGGGAGCCGGCTCTCTAACAGCACCCCGCAGCCGGGGGTGGGGCTTGTAAACAGGAGAGTATCCTGCTCATTGTTCTGGGGGTGAGTGTCCAGGATGAAGGCAGGCAGATCCGGGGTCTGGAGGGCCCACCTCCTGACCCATAAACATCTCACTGAGTCTTTGGTGGATGCAGGGGCGGGGGGGGGCATCGGGCGTCCCCTTCACAAGGGCATTCTAACCCCGAGGGCTCCCCCGACAACCTCATTGCTCCCAGAGACCACCTCCCAACACCGTCCCCTGGGGGTTTCAGCCTCTGTGTTTAGGGGGAACTGTGAGGACAGGCTGGCTGCAGTGCTGAAGGGAAGGGCGGCGGCTGGCCCGATCAGGGGCCGACCTGCCTGGTGAAGGGGCCGGGTTCGCTCAGCGCCCGCGGAAGCAGCAGCAGGGGTTTACAGCTGGGGACGGGGTAGGGTGAGCTGCTGCAGGGGACGTGGGGATGTGCAGGGGTTTGCTGCGCAGAGGGACGTGGTGAGAAGGGGCTGAGCGGTGGAGCTGCTGGACGCAGGGAGGAAAGGAGGCCAAGACAGGCCAGGACCTGGCGGTCCCGGGGCCGGGCTGGACATCAGGACCCCCAGGGCTGGAGGCGGCCAGCAAGTCCACAGACAGCAAGGTTGGAGGTGTCCGCTGAAGGGCTTGGCTTGGGCTTGAACAGGACAGAGGACCCCGATCAGGGGGACCCAGCCCGGAAAGGGGTTGTATTGGGCTTGTATAGTGGTAATGTTATTAAGTCACTCAATCATGTCCGACTCTTTGCGACCCCATGGACTGCAGCACACCAGGCCTCCCTGTCCCTCACCATCTCCCAAAGTTTGCCCAAGTTCATGTTCATTGAATCAGTGATGCCATCCAACCATGTCATCCTCTTCTGCCCTCTGCTCCTCCTGCCATCACTCTTTCTGAGCATCAGGGTCTTTTCCAATGAGTCAGCTCTTCACATCAGATGCACAAAGTATTGGAGCTTCAGCTTCAGCTTCAGTCCTTCCAATCAATATTCAGGGTTGATTTCCTTTATGATGGACTGGTTGGATCTCCTTGCAATCCAAGGGACTCTCAAGAGTCTTCTCCAACACCACAGTTCAAAAGCATCAATTCTTCGGCTCTCAGGTTTCTTTATGGTTCAGCTCTCACATCCATACATGACTACTGGAAAAACCATAGCTTTGACTAGATGGACCTTTGTTGGCAAAGTGATGTCTCTTCTTTTTAATATGCTGTCTAGGTTTGTCATAGCTTTTCTTCCAAGAAGCAGGCATCTTCTAATTTCATGGCTACAGTCACCATCTGCAGTGATTTTGGAGTCCAAGAAGAGAAAATCTGATTATTAATTTTTGATGCAGAGTGAAGGGCTGTGAGGAGAGGAGAAGGGGTGTGGGGAGCAGAGGACAGCTGAGAGGCGGGGAGGGCGCCCAAGGAGGGCGTGTGGGGTCAGGGGGACTGAGGGGCACCCAGGCTGGGAGGGGAGGGGTCCCCTTTCTTTGGAAAATGTGGGAAGGCAGTTGGCATGAAGGACACGAAGACTACCACTCTGGGGAAAGGAGTTAAGTTCAGGCCTGAGAGTCCTGGCTTCCTGGAGGAGCCACAGCCAGGGATGCCCTAACGTTACAGAGGGCATTGGCTGTGGCCAGCAGGTTAATCCCATGAGGATTCGCTCATGATGTAACCCAGCGGGTGGCATCACCCCCATGGCACCTCACCCAGCAGCAGTGAGGCACCTGCAGAGGTCTGGGCTGGAGCAGCAAGGAACTCAGGAGGGCAGGTCTCCCAGGACCCATCGACAGCCCTGTCTGGGGGGCGGGAGTGTTGAGGCCCCAGTAGGTGAGCCGTCTCTGCAGCCAGCAAGCCACCGATGGGTGAGCCAGGGCCTCAGGGGCAGATCCAGCTCAGAAGGGAGCTTCTTCCCTTGGAAATGCCACCCACCATCCAGCCCTCATCAGGGAAGCACCTGGGACTGGAAAGTGGTTCATGCCCAGCGCAAACAAGCCAGCAGCCGCCGTTTCCAGGCACGGGGCCTGGCTGCGGTCCCTGCACCCAGGGACGTCACACACGGGGCCTCGGCATCCCAGGACAGCCCTCCTTAGCACCTGAGTCATGGCCGGCCTGTGAAACAGCAGGGGAACATCCCCGAGCAAACCCGACGCTGTTGGAATCAAGGGGTTTGGGTTTCACAGTCTTTCTCCTGCCTCCATGATGCAGGAGGCGCTCCTGGAGTTCTGGGACAGAGCTGTGCTCGGCTCAGCGCCACAGACTGCAGTGTTTGGAACAAAGGGCAGCTGGAGGAAGCAGTGACAGATTAGCCGCAGGTGGGGCTGTTGTTCAACAGAGGAAATGCCTGAGTCAGCCGAGGAGATAAACAGCAACCGCTTGCTTTTCTCAGCCGGGCGTCTGGACTGTAAGCCAGTGAGAGGTCCCCACAGCCCCAGCAGGACTCTTAGGCGCTTCAGCCAGCGATCGTCCAGAGAGGGCGTCTCCACGTCCCCGTGGAGGGGGGAGGGACCCCCACTGTTTACACCCAGTGCTTCTGCCGACTTGCTCTCTGATTAACTGACTTCTCTGAGCTCAGGGAGTTTTTTGAAGTCTTTACACTTAGAAGTCAGGTCAGGGCCTGGGATGCACAGCCATGCACAGCGTACAACAATCCCCAGGTGTTCGGAAGGCTCGCGGTAAACCTGTTTGGTTTTCTCTCTCCCTGAGACATGGGAGTAATTGCTCCAAGTCTCCCTTCCTTTCCACGGACACGAGAGACTGTCAGGCTGAGCCTTTGTCAGGTTGAGCAGCTACATGAAGTCCGGTGAAAGACTTGGGTAAAGCCCTTCTTGAATAAGAATACCAATTTAAAATGAACTATTTCTGTCTTTTTGTTCAAATTAGAAGTAAGGGGTTTTTTTTGAGTAAAAATCAGTTCTTGGAGGGAAACTGTTCTTCCCGTCTATGATTTGTGACCTTCTTAACCATCTTGACCAGGAGGGCTATGTTAATAACAGAGATCCCTGCAGACTGGCTCTACCTCCCTGCAGTGTGGTCCATCCATACTGTCTCTGTGTTTTCAAAAACCGCACGTTTTGTGTAGCTTTTGCCACCTACCAAGACCAGCTCTCTCACTTCTGCTGTTTCAGTAGCAAGTTGGATTTCTAATGCTATTCTCCCTGAATGTGTCTGTTAAGAAAAGACATGAGTCACGTACATTCCTAGTTAATGAGACGGAATACAATTGCGTACAGCATAACCCTCCTTTGCAGTCACCACTTCTCAATGGAAAAGCTGATTGCTACAACGGGGCGGGACCATCCCAGCCCCTCCTTCCTGGGGCAGAATACTGCTTCTCCCTGCTCCCGGTCCCCACTGGGCTCCGAGGAGCCCTCCGGCCTGTGGAGCCGTTCATCTTGGCTGCTCTCTGCTTATCCACCCTGACAGAACTGTTGCCAAGGCAACACTTGCACGCCAATGCCTGAATCTGAGACGACTCGGAAAGTCTGGCCTTGAAATACCCTTTTGCCTCATCAGCCACCGAAGGGGCTGTCTTCAGGCTGATAAATTCAGAAAATCTGTCCTCTCTCACATGCCCGGTTCACGAATCCTGTCATTTCCAACAAACAAGACTTGTCCTCCTCCCGGCCCCTGCACAGAGTCCACATTTGGTCACTTTCACCTGGTGTCTTGGCCAGGAGGGACGGCGAGCAGGCTTTTCTTCTTTCTGTTTTATAATAATCCTAGATCGACGGAAAAGTTGCCAGTAGAGTGCAGAATTCCCACATAATGTCCATTCTGTTTCCTTAATGCGAACATCTTACAAACCTGTGGTACACTTGTCGAAACCAAGGGACTAACACTGAGAAATAACGGAACTTCAGATTTTATTCCATTTTCCCAGCTTTCCCCCCCTTTCTCTATGTGCTCCGAGACCCCAGGCAGGCGGCCACGTTACATGCAGCCACCGCGTCTGCTTTTTGGTCTGTGCCAGCCTCTCTGCTCTGCTTTGACGCCCGTGGCCCTTTTGGAGAATATGGGTCAGGGGTTGTGTAGACTGCCCCTTAATTCAGGCTCGTCTGATGTCTTCTCATCACTGGGCTGGTTTCAGGGAGGAAGACCCCAGCGTGCAGGGCCTTTCTCGTTGTGTTGAGCGGGGGGACAGCACACGGCTGGCCCACCCGTGGACCCTGCAGAGGGGGCCCCTCACCCTCATCTACTCAGGTCCCGTCTCCCAGCCTTGCTTTCCTGACCTGTGAGGTACGGGGCGGGTCACGGCCCCTCCGGGGGTCACCCTCATCCATTCTCTTTCTAGTCTCCACGATGGTGCTTCTCTGCGAGAGGCCCGCTCACCGGACTGGTTACCGTCCACACCGTGAAACCCTTCTGATTTCCAGAGAGGAAGGTCCTGGGGTGGGTACCTGGGCCTCGGGGAAGCGGCAGCGTTCTCTGCCGGAATCACAGCCGCGTTTCCGTCCCTGCCTGCAGCTCTCTTCGGGGTCCTGTTTGAGAAGAACAAGGAGGCCGCCTTCGCCAACTACCGCCTCTGGGAAGCCCTGGGCTTCGTCATTGCCTTCGGATACAGCACGTTTCTGTGCGTCAGCGTCAAGCTGTGCGTCCTCCTGGGCGTGCTGGGCGCCGCCATGGCTGCCTACGGGGCCGTCGAGTACCTGGAGCCCAGGAAGGCGGTCGGGCCGCTGGCCGCGGCCCGGACAGCGCCCGCCGAGGCGGCGGTGACACAGACGAAGCTGTGAAGCGACAAGCCCCGCGGCGGGTGGGCCCGGGGCGGCCCCGGGGCAGGCGAGCGTTTCCCGAAGACGCCTCGGGTCTGCGGTTGATTCTTTACGACCGCTTCAACGCGGTTTCACTTCTACGTGATGTTCTTTCTATTTTATCAGATTCTTCAGTCCACCATCTCATCAGTGGAGATGCAGAGTGTAGGTGGAGGAGTCAGTTCATTTCAGATACAAAAGAGTTATAAACTCAGGATACCACCAGCCACCAGGGACTTGCCTAGAGTCGCGGGTCAATAGCCTAGGCTTGTTTGGGGGTTGTTGTTAAGAACTCGAAAGTCGCTGAAAAGACGCAGCCCAATGCCAGCACTTGGCAGATGGGCAAACTGACGCCCCGGCAAGTCAGTGACTGCCTCCCAGAGTCAGTGAGGGACAAAGCCAGACGAGGCTCTCTGGGTCTTGAAGCTTATAGGGTAAGAGTTTCTAAATAAACGCAGTTATTTTATGGACCTGACTCTTGTCCAAATACTTCATGCCACCCCCCTGGATCACACACACAAACGTCATCACATTGGCTTGTCGGAGGCCATTGATGACAACAGACGCAAGTTACTTCCAACGGGACTTGACACATGGGGCTGATAACACATGAACCCGGACGCGGGTCCACCGGTCTCCTGGCCTCTGCCTGCCTCTCCGGCAGGTACGTCCATCCTGCTCCTTCCTCCTCGTCTGACGCCCGGTAATGCAGGCACGGCTGTTCTCTGAGCCCAGCTGTCTTTTGGAGACACCCCACCCTGGAACCTCTCAGACAGGGCTCCCCGTGTCTCCTCTTTTCTCCTTTCAGCCCAGCTTGCCTCCTCCCCCACCTCGGTCCCTGCTCCTCTCCAGGCTTCTCTCCACGCATCCAGTGGCCATGTGCCTGCCTGCCCTCCTCCAGCCCTGAAGCAAACCTGTCTGGCAGGCCCTGTGACCCTCCCAAGGCCGAGTTTCCGAGGTGTGTCCTGCAGCCGAGCCCAGGGTCTTCCACCTTCCAGGGGGCCGCCGGGCCCCTCTCCAAGGCACTGTGGCCTCTAGAGCTTTGCTCATGGGCCTCGTCGACTTTGAGCACCTTCCTGCCCTCAACACAGACCCCTCAGGCTTGTCCGGGCTGTGCCCGCGGCCACGGGACGCACACTTCCTGACGCTGGCTTTTGTGTGCGCCCCCTGCTCAGTACTGTGGCTGGCAGTGCTTGGTCCTCCTGGGCCTGGGTGCTGGAGCTGGGGACACTGTGCCCGCAGAGACCCAGTGGACTCGCAGAAACGCACGAACGTGGGCAGAGGGGCCCGGCCGGGAACATCAGACCACAGCCGCCCCTTCTCCCGACTCCAGGATGAGAAGCCACGGGAGGGCCCTGCGTCTCCGTGAGGTCCGGAGTCAGAGGCCAAGGCACCCCGGGCTCTGGCAGAAGGCTGAGCTCCTTGCTCTGTTTGCGGCTGTTGCTGCTCGAGGGAAAGTGTGCAGGAGCCCCAGCCCCTCGGGTGACGGGAGGGCTTCGGGTCCAGGGGGTGAGGGCCCGGGTTGGGCAGCCATCTGAAGAGCGGCCGCCGGGGCCGCCGAAGGCTCCCACTGGACCGCACGCTCCCGCCTGCTGGCCGGCTGCTCCTGGAAGGTGGCCTGTGGCACTCAGGCCTTTTCTTTCCTGCTCATCCTCTGAACTTGGCCTGCGCCCTTCAACCTGGGTGTATGTTCGGGTACCTTGATGCGGGCACAGAGACAGAACAGGGCTCTTGCTTCCTCCTGGGCCCTGGGCTGGGGTGGGGGGTGAGAGGGGGTCCCTGGGTCACACCAGTGTTGCTCTGGGAAGGTTGAATTGTAGCAGAAAGTAAGGGACTTAATCTTGAGCATAGTACTCTATTAGCAAAATGAAAATGTTCCTCCTTCATAAGGAATCATTGAAACAAGATGTTATTCAAAGGGAAAAAGCAGAGGAGAGATAAATTAGGAGTTTGAGAATAACATATTCACCCTGTTACATATAAAGTAGAACAACAAGGACCTATCTGTATAGCACAGGGAAATATACTCAATATTTTAAAATAACCTATACAGGAAAGAATCTGAAAAAGAAAAAAAAAATATATATATATAATGCTTAGAACTTTTTTTAAAAAACACTGGATTATAAAACACTATAAAGCACTGTATGGACTTCTCAGGTGGCTCAGCCGTAAAGAACCCGCCTGCCAACGCAGGAGATGCAGGAGGTACTGGTTCAGTCCCTGGGTCGGAAAGATCCCCTGGAGGAGGGCAGGGCAACCCACTCCAGTATCCTAGCCTGGAGAATCCCATGGACAGAGGAGCCTGGCGGGCTACCATCCATGGGTCACAAAGAGTGGACACAATGTGAGCGACTGAGCGCACACACCAAGTACTGTGCACAGTGAAATAAGAATGAACTCCTCAGACTAAGGTTAAATGCAGTGGTTTCGTCCACCTCTAAACCCCAGTGGGGCTATTATGAGCCTCGATTAGACTGGATCCAACAATTGTTAAGTCTCTTATCCACCTCCCGGGGCTCAGGAACAAAGGCATAATTTTACTACTTGCTCAGAGTTACTCACTAGGAAAAGATTTTCAAAAATAAAACGTACGAATGTAATGTCACAATGTATGGTTAAACATTTCCTAAAAATTAAATGTTTATCTGGAATAAAATGGTAAGTGTAGAAATGAAGTTACAAGCACATAATAATAAAGAGAAAGTGTGTGCAGCAATAATCCAGGCTCATGGGTGCAGGAGTCACCATCATCACCTAAAACAAGTGCTGAGTTTACTGGCCGCCCAGGTAAAAAGAGAGAACACACAACCGAACGGTCACTATTTGATGGAAGGGGGTTGCTGGTCTTTAGAGGAGAACAGTTCTCTGGGTGACATGTAAACGAGCACCCGCGTGGGTCACAGGTGAGGAACACAGGTAAGCCCGCAGACACCGCCCCCGACCGACGGCCAGGTGTTCTCTGCTGGTCGTGGCGACAGCATGCACTCAGGGATCCCGCCGGACGGGCTTTCTGTGGACGGGCCGGGGGCCCCAGGAAGCCGGGAGGGCGGCCTTCAGTGAGAACGGCCCGTCACTTCACACCCCACCCTCCAGGAGCCTGGAAACTTCTACTCGAGTCGAAGTGTTGGGCCTCGGGAGACCCTCACCCTCACCCTGACCCCAGCCAGGTTTATGTAGTCAGTGAGTGAGGCGCGTTTCCCAGTTTACGAGTCAGAGAGGATGACAAAATAAATCACGTGGAATGAGAGGGTTAAAAAGGACTCAGGGGTTTGGCAGTCTCTTCTAGTTTCAAATCCAAATCAGAAACGGAGATTTTTTTTTTCCCCGTCCTGAGCCCCCTTCCAGGCCCAGGTCACGCTTCTCCACGTCTCTGAGCTCCCCCCCCACCAGCCTCCTCCAAAAAGGCTCTCAGAACCCCCCTCCCCAGTCACACAGCCCTTTCCAGGCCTCCCCCCGTCCCATAATCTGAGTTCATCTCCCATCTCCCTGCTCCTTTAATCGCCTCCCTTCCAGCTCCTGGGCCCAGGCTTCCTGGTTTTCTTTTTCAAATACTGGACTAAAAGTCTGACACATTCATCTACCTGCAAAGTCTATCTCCATGGCTTCCTCTCAGCTCACGGGCAGGTCTCTGTCCATCCATCTGTGGGGAGGCGACGTTTGTAGACGGAACAGGCAGGACACGTTCACGGGAGGTGCTGTGTCCACCGCCTCCAGACGCCTGGCCAAGCATCAGGGGGACCCTGCTGTTGGGGGAGAGCCTTGTGAGCCGCAGGGCAGCCCCTCATCCCGGGGACACGGTGGGCCCTCCACAGGGCTGTCACCACTGCCGCGCTGAGTCCGTGACCAGTTAGGAGGCTTCCTCATCCCGTCCTTATGGCTGGGGGGGAGCACTGCGTTTATCTCTCCTGACCTCTGACCCAGGGGCTCAGCCTGGAGTGGAGCCTGGGCATCCGCATTTTGGAAAGCTCCCCAGTGTTGGACCGTGTGGCTGGCGGGAGTCGAGCACGGGTTTTAAAGTCATGTCATATCTCTGCTCTTGCAGCAGCTCGCTCACTTAGCTGGCTAACAGCATATAAAGTACATTTCTGAAAAGAATTTCTGGGAGTAAGCATCACTGATTGACATTGTCATTGCAGTTCATGACAAGTGACATCGTGGAATCCCAGTGCCCCCTGGACGCCATGAAAGAACACGACAACAGTAGCAGCTCCACTGATGTTTAGCCAAACATCCGAGTGAGGTGCCCGTCACCATCAGCACCGCTCGGCCCAGAGGTCCCGGGGGAGACGCCTCGGCCTTGGCTGTCCTCGTGTTTCCTGGTGGCGGCTCAGCCAAGGCTTCCGCAGGTCCACTGACCCTTTCCCTGCCCTGGACCCGCCCCCACCCCTCAGCCTCCAGCACCCCCTCCAGGGGCCTGGCCTCCCCTGCAGTCCTCTGCCCCCCAACACCTGCAGACAGCACTTGTGACCCCCCAGGACTCTGGGCCCAGCTCCTGGCAGTCACTCACCCGCCCCTGGACAGGGCTTTGTCTCCAGCATCATCTCCCATGGGGAGTACCCCCCCACCCGCCACGCACCTGCCGGCTGCCCCGGCCTAACCCACAGCCACTGCCGACGCCGTCAGGCACCGCCCCGTTGGCCTCGCTTCTGGGAAGTCTTCCAGCCCCGCACTGTCTGTGGCCTCTGGGGGCTCCTGACCCAATGGCCATCCTTCGAGAGTCAGACTCACAAGCTGCCTCCTCTACTCACGACCGGCCAGCGCTGGCCATTTTTTTTCCAACACCTTAGTCGGGCCTGCTGGACCCTCAGTGAGTCAGTCCTGACTCATCCTTGCCCCCGCCCCTTCTCTCCCCAAATTACAACATAAGTTCCCCCAGTATGACATAAACTTATAAGTACATGGCATATAAATATCGTAATCTCCACACCTCAGCGGTGATAGCTGGCTTTATCAAAATCCCTTTCCTCCCCCTGTGCTCAAAATTCACCTCGGATGCCTTTTCTCAGGCGCACACTTTCAAAACTGCCTTGCTCCTGCCAGGCAGAGGCCCTTCCCCAGAGGGTTCGGCGCTCCCTCCCACGCCGGCACTTGAACCGCCTCGGGTTTCACCAGTGTGAGTGATGGGGGCAGGTCCCGCAGCGGGAGGAGCCTGGGTCTGCGGCGGCGGTGGGCAGCCCGCCTGCCCCCTCTCTCCCGCGGGGGCTCAGCGCCGCGGGCCCGGGGAGGCGGGCAGGAGGGAGGCGCCTGCCTGTCCCCTCTGCCCGTTCTGGGCCGGGGAGCAGCGCGCCGGCATCACCTGGACCGCGGAGGCCGGGCGGCTGCACGGCGCCCCCTGGCGGGCAGGGAGGGCGGCGACCCGCACGCGGGCTCCCCGAGGGCTGCTCCCGCCGCAGGGGGCGCCCGGCCCACCTGCCGCTGGCTCCACGATCCGCGTGTCATTTCTGTCAGAACATCCGCCCGACTCGCGCGCAGCGCTCCTTCCCGGGATGGGGAACACATGCAAATCCATGGCTGATTCATCTCAATGTATGACAGAAACCACTGCAGTGATGTAATTAGCCTCCAACTAATAAAAATAAATGAAAAAAATAAAAAAGAAAAATAGAACAAAAAAGCCACAAGCAGGCTTCCCCCGTGGCTCAGACAGGAAAGAATCTGCCTGCAGTGGAGGCCCAGGTCCTAGCTGACACTCGAGTGAGCGGCCGGAGGAAAGCGAAGATCTGAGGTCTCAACACTGGCATTTTCCAAGCTTCGAACGTCAGGGTGAAGACGAGGAGCTGGGGGACGTGACCGGGGAGGCTGGCTGAGCGGGGCTGCCAGAGGCTGGCTGAGACCGGGTGAGGTGGGATGAGGGCAGGCCGGTCGCTGACTTGGCGGTGATGAAGCTGCTGCTGTCCGTGATCGCAGAGACTGGGGGGACCCTGGAGATGAAGATGGGAGCCCAGTGGCTCAAAGAGGAGTGCAGATGGTGGGGCGTCCCGCCCCACCCAGAAGTTTTCTCCAGAGAGAAGAGGCCACAGCTCCAGCGTGGCCTCGGGGACAAGGGTCATTATGTCACCAAAACTGGTGACAGCAGCTCGCGGGTCCTAAGTCAGAAAACAGGCAAGGTTGGTGAAAAGGAAAGTTTGCTCTACTCTGGATGCTGGAACCCAGGGGGGCGTGTGACTCCTCTCCAAAGGCCAGCTTCCACCCCTAACCCCCCCGCCCCCCGCCAACCGTCTTGCCACTGAGGGTCAGTGGGCAAGAGCTTCTAGGCGGAGCTTCAGGGGTGTATAGATGGAGGGAAGGGGCTACATGCAGAAGAGCACAGTCAGCTCTGGCATCACTGGTGCTCTCACCAGCATCATCTTGACTATTTTAAGAACAATCAATCTTCAGTTCAGGGCTTCCCTAACGGCTCAGTGGTAAAGAATCTCCCTGCCAGGCATAAGACGTGGGTTCGGTCCCTGGGTTGGGAAGATCCCCTGGAGAAGGAAATAACAGCCCCACTCCAGTATTCTTGCCTGGGGAAATCCATGGACAGAGGAGCCTGGCAGGCAGAGTCGGACACAAGTTAGCGACTAAACAACAATGACTAAACTACATTATTTAGTCTTGTTAGACTGCTTTTCTTTGCTTCTGCATTTTCTCACTTCTCTGATTAATCTTATTCTTGGCTAAAGTTTTTCCACAGACAAAAGGCCCTGGAGGGCTTGGGGGTGGGGAGGACCCTAAGGTTGAAATGATTCTAGATCAAATTCCTCCTGAGAAATTGAGAAAAGCAAGACTAGACAGCAAGGTTAGTGACTTGTCCTGGATCACACAGCTGGCTAATTGAAGAAATGGTACTAGAACCTGGTTTCATAACTTATGGTTGAGGATGTTTTTCTACTAAAAGGCAAGAGAGTGGTAAATAATTCCCAATGCTCCTCAACTGAGATAGATGCTAAGTTTTTAGAACTTTTTATTGAACTGCAACATAAAGACAGAAAAGGTACAATTATATGTGTACAGTTTGGTGAATTTTCACAAACTGAACACACCGATGTAACCAACACCCAGACCAAGAAACAGAGCACCACCAGGGTGGACCCCCGGGGGACTCATTGCCGTCACTTCCTCCAAGGGCGACAGCCCCCAAACCATAGGTTGATTCTATGTGCTTACTTACTTACGTGTGTCTCTCTCAAGTTTTCCTTACAAAAGTATCTTGTTCATGTAAGCTCTTCAACAGTACTTAAGTGATGATGGTAATTAATAACAGTCAGTTCTCAATAAATACTTACCATCTTTCCAATGAACCAGGCATTATACAAGTTTCGAGTTTCCATGCATGTTAACTGGGAAAGTGTCATTGGTGTGGTTACTGGTTGGGACGTTCTTTGGCGTCCAGGAAAGACTTCCACATTCCCATAATCATGCTGCTTTCCCTGGCTGCCTCCCTCAGGCTTGGTAGATGGGGTTGTTTTTCTATTGCCCACTTGGGACAAGGGTCTTAGTGATGGAACTGGGTGTAACAAAATAGTGAACATTCTATTATGGATTCAGAGTTTCCTTGGACTTCGTGAAAATTCTAGATTTTAAACATTGTAATGAATTGGGGCTGGGAAAGGAGGAAGCATTAGGAGCTTACTCCTGATGCTCTCAGAGGGGAGCGTGTATAATAAGAGTGTCTGGTCTCAGAGAACAGACCTGTGAGCTTGAGGGTGAGGTTAGCAGATGCTGTAAACAATGGACACCTGCGAGATCCACGTAACTGATGAGAGAAAGCCTCAAAGGATTTGGCGTGGAGCCGGGCAAAAGGCTCCATGATCCAGGCAGATCAGCCCTGCCCTGGAGTATGGACACCCCTTGGGGTCGGTTTTGCCTGTGGGCAGTGACCAGCAGGCACTCACTGGAAGCCTCTCCATGTGTGAGGAAGCCCAGGTTCCCCTGGAGAACTCAAGCCATGGAGAAAACTGAGCCCATTGAGAAATGATCAGAAGGAGGCTGAACGTCAAAAAGACAGTTTGGAGAAACGCGTTCTCTCATTTTGGAAAAGGACAATCGTTGTCATCAGATAAGTGCCCCCTGCATTTTTCTTGCTGTTCATGGGCCCTTAGCAACCGCCTCTCATCTGGACCATCAACTCTTTCCCAGCCCCGGCACCCAGCTTGGAACTCTGGAAGCTCAAGCGACCATCTCAGACTGAATGGAACATCTACCGCTGTTGATCAGATTCAGACAATTCAGGCCCAGATGTCTTCACTCCAGCCTGGAGGCCTCCCCCAGCGTGCGTGTCCCTGACATCCTCCCAGACCTGCCATTTGTCTGCTGTGCCTGAAGACAGTCAGCAGCGGAAGGACTTAATTACTCTTGATTTTTAGAAAATTTACTAGGTGGGTGGCCGGAGGACAGCAATGAATAATTAACAGGTTAATACGACAAACCGAAAAAGAAAGATGCCTTCTAGGCTCCATACAAGGAATGATTTTATTCTTGATTTGCTAACTAGAAAATCTGCAGTGATTCCCTTTTGTCTGACACCACTGGGCCGGCATCTTTGGCTGCTGGGCTGTGCGGCTTTTATATAGTTATGAGAAGCAGTTTATTGGTCCCGAGTGGTTATAACCGTGCCTGTAATGAGCTAGGTGATGAGGAAACATTACACATTAATCAGTGAGTGATAGCGCGCTGGAACCTGAAGGGGCTGAGTACAAAGATTCTGTGTGAGGCCCTGACTTTGAGACGGTTCTCTTGGATTGGGTTGAGGCCTAGAGTCCACAGGCCTGGCCCACAGGCCCCAGAAGACGGGGTGAGACTCTGGGGCAGCCTTCCTGGAGGGTGCGTCCACCCAGCGTCTGCTGTGGCTTCAGTGGATAAAAAATGTTCACTTTGGAAATGCAGATGTTTTATGTAGAAATAATATTTATTGTGGTCCCACTAAAGTAAAGCCCAGGAGATCCCCAGGCCCACCACAGGAGCCCACCACCTCTTCTCCGAGGCCTCAGGAGTGTCGTCGGTGGGACCACTCGGCCTCGGCCTGCGTGGTCTCCTGAAGGGAGGGAAGCCCGGGGCCCACACCCTGACGGGGGCCCAGGGTTTGTGAGGAGAGCAGGCCGCATCACCGGTGACCCGCACAGCTGCATCTGTGCTGCCCCTCTCAGCTGAGCTCTGAAGCTGCCGAGGGAAGACCCCAAACCCAGCCCCGGGTCAGGGCCTGACGACGCAGCGGTGCGTTCCCGCTTGGTGCCCTGTGTTTACACCCAGCCGGCTCAGGGACCATTGCAGCCACGCCTGGAGGACATCGCACCCCTGCCCGGACATCGCACTCACACCTGGACACCGCACCCCTGCCTGGACACCGCACCCCCGTCTGGACACAACACCCCCGCCTGGACACCGCACCCCCGCCTGGACACCGCGCCCCCGCCTGGACACCGCACCCCCGCCTGGACACTGCACCCCCACCTGGACACCGCACCCCCACCTGGACACCGCACCCCTGCCTGGACACCGCACCCCCACCTGGACACCGCACCCCTGCCTGGACACCGCACCCCTGCCTGGACACCGCACCCCCGCCTGGACACCGCACTCACACCTGGACACTGCACCCCTGCCTGGACATCGCACCCCCGCCTGGACACCGCACCCCCGCCTGGACACCACACCCCCGCCTGGACACCGCACTCACACCTGGACCCGCACTCACACCTGGACACCGCACCCCCGCCTGGACACCGCACCCCCGCCTGGAAGGAGGCCCCTGAGGCGCTGGGTCCAGGGCCACTAGGATCGGTGAGTGGACATCCTCTCCTGCGGGCATAGCAGGCAGATTCGATACCGTCTGAGCCACCAGCCAAGCCTGGGACCATGGCAGAGTTTTCATTTCCAGCCTGTCCCCTTCCACCAGTGTTTATGAACCGTGAACACGTGCTCGGGAGGCTGGGTACAAGAGGTGTTTGGAAGTGGCCTTTGCCTTCAGGAAACTGAAGGATTTAATGATAAAATAGGCTTCTTTACAATTAACACCAAAAATGGCACATGGGTTCTGTTTGAGAATAATGAAATTATTCTGGGTTTAAACAATGCCAACTTTTTCCTGAAAAGAACATGTATGTATGTAGTCAAAGTTATTATTGAAGTATAGTTGATTTACAATATTAGTTTTAAGTGTAACAAGGAACTCGTAAGTTGGCTGACTTAAAATATAGGACAAATCAGGGACTTGCCTGGTGGTGCAGTGGTTAAGCCTTCACCTTCCAACACAGAGGTGTTCAGTCCCTGGTTGGGGAGTTAAAATCCTACATGCCTCATGGCCAGAAAACCAAAACATAAAAGAGAAGCAATATTGTAACAAATTCGATAAAGACTTTAAAAAATAAAGCAAGTAATATATAGGTAATATTTTTAATGTGAGAGGCACTCTGTGTTTCTATAAACTATAAACCACGACTGAAATCTATAGACTATGCATC